CTAAGTTCAACTTTTGTATTGCTTTCTTTCATTGCATTAAATACATAATATATGAATACATTGTTGTAAAGATACAAATACATTTGCAATTTCTCTAAGGCTTTGTAGCCGCTAAGAGAATGCCTTAGCCTGAGAGTCCTGAGGAGCACTTCACACTCAAGCCTACCTGCTCATGGCAGCAGTGATGATGGAGAGTAAGTGTGATATTGTGATTTAGAATAAGAAATATATATTTGGCCTTCCTTCTGTTTCTGGCCCAGGGCTCCTAAAACCCTTGGAATTTCCTGTGATGAGAGCCATCAAGGTGTCTCTTGATTTGTTAACGATGTGACTTTTGAAACACCTAACGTTTCTGGTTGCTAGGAAAACCAACCATGTGATTAGAGGGTTGGAACTTTCAGTCCCAGTCCCCTTACCTCCAGGGAGGGGAGAGGGGCTGGAGGTTGGATCAGTCGCCAATGGCCAATGATTTAATCAGTTGTGCCCATGTAATGAAACCTCCATAAAAACCCAAAAGGATGGGGTTTGGAGAGCTTCTGGGTAGGTGAACATGTGGAGATTTGGGGAGAGTGGTGTACTTGGAGAGGGCAGGGAACCTCCATGCCCCTTCCCCATGCCTTGCCCAATGCATCTCTTCCGTCTGGCTGTTCCTGAGTTATATCCTTTTATAATAAACCAGTAATCCAGTAAGTAAAAGGTTCCTGTGAGCAATTCTTGCAAAATTAATCAAACCCAAGGAGAAGGTCATTGGAACCTCCAATCTATAGCCCCTTGGTGAGAAGCATAGGTTATAACCTGGACTTGCGACTGCCATCTGAAGTGGGGGAGGGGGCAGTCTTGTAGGCTTAGTCCCTAACCTGTGGGATCTAATGCTATCTCCAGGTAGATAAGTGTCAGAATTGAGTTGAATTGTAGGACACACAGGTGGTGTCTGAGAATTGCTTGGCGGTGTGGGGAAACTCCCTCCCTCACACACACACACACACACATTAGAATTGAGTGCAGAACTCTTTAGTAAGCAAATATGAGGTTTGTTCCAGGCAATGTACACCTAAGGAGTGACCAATGCAGCAGCACCCTCCCTCCCTGGACAGGGACCCAGCAACCACATAGGCTTAAGCCAGCACCCTAGGGCTAATGCACTTGTGGATGCACACAAGCTACCAGTACTGCTTCCATAATTAAAACTCATTCACCCAGTCATTGCCCAACTTTGGAAAAGCTATTCCCTGGGCACCTTGTTTCCCCCAATGCGAGTGGCACCATGAGTGTCAAGGGTCTATAAAGAAGCAGAGAAGTTGGTCACTAGCAGACAAGGCAAACATCAAGCACTGAAGGAATCAGTGACTGATTTCAAAGAAAACTCAGTATTGCTGGGTAAATCTTGATACATTACCCCACCAATGGCTAGCCTTAATGCCATGAAGATGTATCCCTTCTAACGATGTCACTGTCTTACCTAACTGCAGGTGATAGCTGGCATGAGAGGAGACAACAGAAATGAAATTGAACTTAAAGGAAAACATCATACTGTACAAAATCCTCATCAAAACCAAATATCATAAATACATTTGAAGCAGAGTTCACAAGCCATGTAAAATCAAACTTATTAGCTGGCATTCTGTAAAGAAGAGCTTTTCTATTTTACTCCATTTTCTCTTGTTTATGGATTTTTATTTAATGAGTTACAATCAGTTATAGAAAATATTGATAGCACAGGGAAAAGAATTATTTCAAGTACTTTTTAAAAACTCTGTATAGTTAAGGGGGATATACTCTAAAACAGGGACTGACAAACTTTTTCTGTGAAGGGCCAGACAGTAAACACAGTTGATCCTCATTTTTGTGTGGAGTCTGTATTTGCAAACTTGCCTACTTGCTAAAAGTCAATACTCAGCAATTTCGTGGTCATTCATGGACATGTGAAGAACAATGAAAAACGAGTCCCCCAACACATATGTTCTCAGCTGAAGTCAAACAAAGCGACCTTCTGCCTTCTTGTTTTAGCTCTTATACCGTAAACAAGTGTCCTTTTCAGTCAAGTTAGTACCACTTTTTTTCTCATTTTCTTGCTTTTTATTGGTGATTTTGTTGTTTAAAAAGGCCCCCAAGCATATGCTAAAGTGCTATCTAGTATTCCCAAGTGCAAGAAGGCTGTGATGTGCCTTACAGAGGAAATATATGTTAGATAAGCTTCATTCACAGGCATGAGTTATAGTGCTGTTGGCCATGAGTTCAATGTTAATGAATCAACAATATATAAAAAGTGTCCTTAAATAGAAACACATAAAACAAGGATATGTATTGATTGCTTGATGAAAATGTTGTGACCAGATGCTTGCAGGAAGCTAACCCTGTATTTACCCTACTAGCAATAGTTCCATAATTAGTCTTTGCAACAACTTTATAGAATATAACTACCATGAATAATGAGAATCAACTGTATTTTAGGCTCTGTAGGCCATTCTGTCTGCATAATCACTCAATTCTGCCCTTGTAGCTCAAATGCAGCCATAGACAATGATGAGGATTATTTTGGGCTGGTTACTTTTGAAAGCTGCAGACAGGAAGGAAACTCTGAAGGGTGGAATTTGCTTGCCGTTTGATGAGAGACATTTGCATTTGTGAAGGAAGTCTCCATCTGTGGGGGTGTCTCCCTCTCTGCACCAGGAGGAAGGGGGGATGACCTTATCTCTAGAAACTCTTACTGGGGAAGGCAAGGACTTAAGGCTGTATAAAAATCTTGCTCTTGTTTGCTGTACTTGTCTGGTAACCTCATGTAACTGAACCCCCTCACCACCAACATCCTCCTTTGTCTTTAGCTGAAGATGATATTTAAGGTGGTGGCTTCAGCAATTTACTTAATCTGATCTGATTCTTATTTAAACTTATAGGACCACCCAATAACCAGACTCCACCTGCACTGATACCATTTTAATGACTTTTTTTACATATTCTTTCCTTTGTCTTGTAAAGAGATAACTCACATACCTATGCCTTAAATTTAGCCCTACCCTTAGCCCATGTGGGCAGCTCTTACTGCCCATGGGTCCTGTCCCCATGCTATTCCATACTATTCTCTGAATAAAAGAGCACTACTTCCAGACCTTGAGAGTCCAAGAAATCTTTCTTTTGACTCCTTGACTCACCAAGCCCACATCAGACAATACATAAATGAGCATGGCTATGTTCCAATAAAGCTTTATTTATGGACACTGAAATTTGAAATGTATGATTTTCACACCTCAAAATATTATTCTTTTGATTTTTCTTAACCATTTAAAAATATAGACACCATTCTTTACCCACTAGCTATACAACAGGTGGCCCACCAGATTTGGCCTGCAAGCTTTAGTTTGCGAACCCTCGCTTTAGAAGATCTATAATCTAAAAATTTTATTTACCAGCTTTATTGTTAGTAATAATATTGGCATTGCAATTCTAAATACTTTTATGGTGATTCTAAGCTAATGTAAATATATAAATAATATTACTAAGAACCAGAATTTCTAGAAAAAAGATTGTTAAAGAAAAGCAGAAATATAAAAGGTAAGAATAAAACCCTTGTAACATTATATTCGAATTAGTAATGTCAGCATGAACTCACGCTTTGAATCTTAAACAAGTTTCTTGCCTTCCTTTAACAAAGATAAAAGAGTGCCTGATCTAGAACCCAAGATATTTGACTCCCTAATCCTGGGTTGTCTGCTCTGGTTATACTGCCTTTTTTTTTTTTATGCAAAGACGTTTTTTCTTAGTTTAGGGCTTCTTAAATCTTCCCAACAAAATCCTCTTAACACCAAGAAACAGGGAAAGTTCCCTCATGGGAATCTGGGGCAGAAGCAAATCAACTACTTCACAACAGGAATTTCCTTGGAAATCTTATTTTCAAAGTTATGCTTATTGACGTTCTTCTCCATAATAAAGCTGTGATTGAATGTAAAATAAATATATAATTTTCTAGAAAAATTCGGGTCTTTTTTTTAACCAAATCCTTCAATAAAGCTGATGCTGCTTGAAGATGCAACATTCCTTTACCTATTTCGGAACTGAGGTGAGTGAGGCTCTTGGTCACATCCAATCATCCAGATAGCCACCTCGTCACAGTCCCGCAGGAACACCAGAAGCGCACACACTCGCCACACAATCACGCCCGCCGTTCCTCAGACACACACTGAGTGACTCACACCCACGGTCTACAGGGAAGGCCCAAGGAAAACAAATCTGCCAGAACCGCGCTGCAAAATTTGAGTCAATTACAGACACGTTCACAGAAACGATCTCATGCACTCACAGTCACCCCATTATCTCAAAGGCCCCCTCAACATTCTCAGTCCTACACAGCCCGACACACAACTCCACTCGTAAAAGCTCCTTCACAAACCGCATCCTGGTCCCTGCAGTCCACCGTCTCAAACACAAACCAGACACACCCAACGAAAAAATCGCACCCAGAATCGCTTCAAAGACACACAGCGCCGTCCTTGGGCACAGCACTCCCGCCTTGGCCGACGGAGAGTCACATTTACCCACATCCCCCTTTAATGCTCCTGCCCCACCCCCTTCCAGGTCCCGCCGCCACTTTCTGGGGACAAAGGGCCAGGAAAGCGGCCCTCGCTTGGGCCGGACTGGACCTCCCGCTAACCGGCCGGACTGAAGTCCCGCCCCCTGGAGCTGGCCGCGCCTGCGCACTCCGTGCGTGCGGCCGGAGTTCCCAGCAACCCCCGCGCGCGGCCCGTTAGGGCCGGGAGACTGTGGACTCGACTGGGCAGTTGCGCCGTCGCTTCCGCTGGGCATCCCTGTGAGACCGGGTCGGCGCCCCAGGTGAGGAGTGCTGGCTCGGAGAGTTGGTTCCGGCCATCTCTTGGAAAAGTGTTGCGGCCCGGGGATGACGAGAAGGAAGGGAGGCGCTGCAGCACCGTAGAGCCTCGGGAGACCCGCACCTCAGGCCCGAGTGTGCGTGAGAAGGGCGGTGGTGTAACTCTGTGTGTGTGTGTGCGTGTGTGTGTGTGTGTCTGGGGGCGTGACGGGGCTGGGGCGTGGCATCGGGACTCTGCGCGCTTGTGAGGCCGGGACTAGTGGGTGATGGCGTGTTTGTGACTCAGTTGGGTGCAGAGCCTCTTGTGTGACGGAAGGTGGCCGTGGCCGTGAAGTGTGTGACTCTGACTCTTAGCGTCACGCGGCATCCTCTGCCCTCTAGCCACGCGGGCCCAGCCGCAGAGAAGGGGCCCCCGTCAGATGTCTGGGCGCCAGAGAAAAGACTCCCAGCAGAAAGGCTCAGCCCGCATCTTGGGATGCGAGTGTGGGAGCTGAGCGTGCCCCAGGCGGGCTCCTGGGAGTACTCCCGCCGCCCCGCATCCTCGGGCGCGCGGACGCGCGCGGCGTCGCTCACACCCTTACAGCGCTGAGGGTCCACCTGCAGGTTTCGGAACCACCCAGTTCCCTCCAGGAAGTGCTGTCAAATCCGACTCCAGAGCTGCACCTCCGTGAGACTGGCCTTTATCTAATGCTGGGAAGGGTCAACAGTACTCTCTCCCTCTTCCCTTACTCTGGGTGTGTGTGTGTGTGTGTGTGTGTGTGTGTGTGTGTGTGTGTGTGGTGGTGGTGGGGGGCATGGAGAGGTGTGGTCGGGGCGTGCCCTAATTAGCCAGGCTGGACTGGGCTCCAAGAAGGGCCTGTTGTCTTCAGATCCCCTAAGAGAAGGGCTCTGAGGAGGGAGAGAGAAGGAATGAGTTGCTATTGCCCACTTGAAAGTCAATATCAAGGCGCGTGGGTATTTCCTCTTGTTCTGTGAAATGCATTATTTTTGGGGACATGGGAACATTTGCTTCCTCCTCCTTAAATGACCTGTCCAGTGAGTGAATACCTACGCCTTCTCCCTAATGCCTATATGCACATATCCATTTGGCAGATACTTCCCATTACTTTTATGAGCTTTCTTTTTACAACTATGTGTAAAGTTCTTAGAACAGTGTCTGCTATTTCCTAAGTACTTAATAAGCATTAACTGTTTGTGGTGATTTTGGGAAATTGCCCATCCGCTTCCAGTAGAGCAAGAGAAATGAAAATACCAAGCTAGTTGCGATGGGCACTTCTTTTTTTTTATTGCGGTAACGTTGGTTTAGAACGTTATATAAATTTCAGGTATGTATCATTATATTTTGATATTTGTGTAGATTACATCATGTTCACCACTCAAAGACTAATTACAATCCATCACCACACACATGTGATGGGCACTTCTTAGTTTAAAAAAAAAGACATGCTCAAATGGTATAGAACAGTTTTTTTTTAGTTTTTACTGAAGTAAGTGGTTTATAATGTTAGATAAATTTCAGTGTACATCCTTATATTTCAGCTTCTGTATAGACTATGTTGTGTTTACCACCAAAAGTTTGGTTGCCATCTCTCACCATACTTATGTGCCCCTTTACCCCTTTTGCCCTCCCTCCCCCTCCTTCCCCTCTGGTAACCACCAGTCTCTTCTCTGCATCTATGTGCTTGTTTGTTGTTTTGATCTTCTACATATGAGTGAAATCATGACTTATTTCGCTTAACATAATACTCTCAAGGTCCATCCATGTTGTCACAAATGGCGAGATTTCATCTTTTTTATGGCTGAATAGTATTCCATCATATATATGCACACCACATCTTCTTTATCCATTCATCTGTTGTTGGGCACTTAGGTTGTTTCCAAGTCTTGGCTGTTGTGAATAAAGTTGCAATGAACATAGCAGTGCATATATCTTTTCAAATTAGTGTTTTTGTGTTCTTTGAATAAATACCCAGAAGTGGAATAGCTGGATCATATGGTATTTCTATTTCTAATTTTTTGAGGAATCTCCATATTGTTTTCCATAGTGACTGCACCAATTTCCATTCCCACCAGTAGTGTGCATGGGTTCCCTGTTCTCCACATCCTCTCCAGCACTTCTTATTTCTTGTCTTTTTAATAATAGCCATTCTGACAGGAGTGAGGTGATAGCTTGTTGTGGTTTTGATTTGTATTTCTCTAATAATTGGTGATGTTGAACATCTTTTCATATGCATATTGGCCATCTGTCAGTCTTCTTTGGAACAATGTCTGTTCAGATCCTCTACCCATTATTTACTTGGATTGTTTGGCTTTTTGTTGTTGAGTTGTATGTGTTCTTTATATGTTTTGGATATAGAGGAATTCTTAACCAAAGGTAATTTAAATCCATTTGGGGCTTTCAGAGATCCAGAAACCCCTTGAAGTTATATGTAAAATTGTTGTAGATATTTGTTAATATGCCATTTTTCTGGAGAGAAAGTCCATAATTTAATGAGATTATCAAACATGACCCAAAAAGATTCAGATTCACTGGCCTAGAATCAAAGACTGTAATATCTCAGAGTGTTCTTTGAGATAACCTTATATAAAATTTGTGTCTAATAATAGGAAATTATTAAATAAATCACAATAAATCCATGTGATGCAGTTTTATGCCATTATGTGAATCGTGAGAAAGAAAAAAGGTAGGTGATCAATTTTAAGCAATAATCATAGTTTTGAACAAGATGACTCAAGAAATTTTTAGTTATGTATGAATCCCTTTTAATAAACTCAGGATTTTTAAGACATTTTACAAGGATTATATCTAATATGGAACTTGAACTATTCAGTGGAGAAAGGCAGAGATAAAACATCTATTTGTACCAAATAGTGTTCTGTATAGTTTGGTATAATTTGGGAATGCTGCTTACTTTGGTTGTGTTCAGGCACAGAAGATAGTGAAGGAAGCTCATTGTTTTGATGAAGAACAGTACAAGAATTGATGAGTGTTTATTTATTTCTGCCATGCAAATTTTTTCTCTTTTTTTTTTGGCAGAACCTACTCATGTCACAGGCCTATAGTCTCACATTTCTCTTAACAACTGGAAGATATTCCCTCTCCTCAACTCTTTTTTGTTTGATTTGTATGGAAATAGTTTAACTTTTGTTTCTGATGATAGAATTAATGCAAGTTTATTGTAAAAAGAAAAAAATCATACAGAGAACTAAGGAACTTATAAAGAAGAAAATTTAAATTGCCCATCCTCCTCCCATCCAGAGTTAATGAATATTACTATTTTTTTTTTAAAGATTTTATTTTTTTTCTTTTTCTCCCCAAAGGCCCCCGGTACATAGTTGTATATTCTCGTCGTGGGTCCTTCTAGTTGTGGCATGTGAGACGCTGCCTCACTGTGGTTTGATGAGCAGTGCCATGTCCGCGCCCAGGATTCGAACCAACGAAACACTGGGCCGCCTGCAGCGGAGCGCGCGAACTTAACCACTCGGCCACGGGGCCAGCCTCCTGAATATTACTATTTAGATGATTGTCTTTCCAAATATTTTTCTGTGCACTTGTGTACATATGTTTGCTTTGCAAAATAGAATCAGAAAAATTGATTATTTAAGGAAGTAAAGAGTCTCCAACACTTTGAAAAAGAAATCCAGTGCAGTCATAAGATTTATTATATTGCTATGCCTGTACAGAGTGCAGTGGTGCCCCTCTAGTTTGAAAAACTTTTCAAGAATTTATACATTTTAGGATTATGGAGACATTGATTAAAACAATTAGCAGAGCAACAAATTACTGTTAATTAACAAATAATTATTAGTTCTTATATCTCTTCAGAGTTAGAAACTTTTTTTAGTGGTTCAAATTTACTTCCAAGTACAGATTTATAATAACAGGGGAAAAAGAGTAGTAGTAGTGATAAATATTTAGACATTATACAGAAGACCTTGAAACGTTTTAATGTGTTCAATATGACACCTTATCAAATCAAATTTCTTGAGTTTTGTGATGCTGAATGGTGTCTCCTCGCAGCTGCTAGGGATAGAGAGCAAGAGAGGCCTTGCTCTACTTATAACTTCTGGATTTTTGTGAATCTGTTTTGCTAATATTATTAAGAAAAGTTACATTCTCAAGCCTAGTTCTAAAATTTATTAATGTTGTAAGAAAGAGCAGTCCAGAAAAATCTCAAAAAATTTCCTATAAGGAAAAAGAAAAACAGCATCCTAGTATTAAAATTATTGAAGAAAATTATTAAATATAATTTATCAAAAAGTTTTTAATTAAAAATTATTAAAAATAATTTTCTTTAATGGAATAAGGCAAATGTATTTTATTCAGTGCTTATAGTAAGCCATTTTAAGTGCTTTAGATGTGTTATATTATTTAGCCTTCATAACAGCCCTGTAAGATAGATACTGTTATTATTCTCCAGTTTATCTATGAGGAAACAGAGGCACTGAAAATGAAGTGACATGTCCAAAGTCTCCTAGCTGATAACTGTCAGAGCTTAGATTCATGTCCTGGATCCTGACAACAAAGCCTGTATTCTTCATATATGAGAGACAGCTGCCTTCCAACATTGTGCATATTCTTTTTAGTCTACCTGCCATTCTTGGCAATTTGTTGTAGATCTCTTCCTTCATTAATTAATATGAACCAATATCATCATTATTAATAATTGCATAATATGCCTTCATATAGTGAAACATAGTTTATTTAGCTTGTTGCTTACTGTTAGGTATTCTGAATTTTGGTTATAAAAATTATTGTTTGATGAACTTCCTTGCAGATATCTCTTTGTGTACTTTTACAAATATTTCAGAAAGATAAATTCCTAGGAATGGAATTTCTAGGTTGAATTATCAGACACTTATAAAGTACTCACAATATGCCAGATCCTGTGTTAGTACTAGTACTGTGCTAGTGAGTAAAATGACATGGTTGCTATCCTTAAGTTGCTTATTATCTTTCAAGATAGATATTATCTTTTGAGTTAGATACACCTCTCAGGAATAACACAAAGACAAGTGTGATAAAGGTCATCGACGAAGTCAGATGGCATGGCTTGGGAGTTCTGGGAAGGAGACCTCTCTGATTACAGCAAGCACTGTCAGGTTGTGACCAAATGCCTGCACCCATGGGATTTCCTTAGAGGTAAATGGATTTTACGAAATAAGCTTTATGCCTCACAGTTTTCATTCTCATGATGTTGATGCAAAGTGAGACCAAATAGGACAAGAAGATTCAGTAGCTCTTTGGAGGACATGTGTCTAAAGTGACTGGTTCAGAAGCAAAATAGGGGCCTCCCTGTGGCCTAGTGGTTAAGGTCACGCACTCCACTTTGGCAGCCCAGGGTTTCACTGGTTTGGATCCTGGACGCAGACTGAGCACCACTCATCAAGCCATGCTGAGGTGGCATCCCACATAACACAACCAGAAGGACCTACAACTAGAATATACAACTACGTACTGAGGGGCTTTGGGGAGAAAAAGAAGAAGAAGAAAAAAAAAGATTGGCAACAGATGTTAGCTCAGGTGCCAATCTTTAAAAAAAAAAGAAACAAAATAAATGCATCATTCAAGAAGTTATGAGAGGCAGCAGGGATGAAACAAGGCATTAGTTGGAGAGGTTTAACCATTCTTTTCTAGGCAAAATTCCAACATACATGAACAAACTTGCAAATCCTAGAGTTGGTTCAGTTATTGGGAGCTGAAATAAATAAAAGCAGAGCAGCTTTTTTCTCCAAGTTCAAGGGATGACTGCTTTGAAAAGTGAGTCTCTTTTGCCTATTTGAAGAAAAGTATTTTGTTTACAAAATTTTAAAAATATATTTCAAGAATATATATGACCATATAAAATTATGAAGTAAATATAAGCAAAAAGAAGAAAATTAAGATCACGATGTGGTGGGCCGGCCCCATGGCCAAGTGGTTAAGTTCGTGCACTCCGGTTCGGCAGCCCAGGGTTTCACTGGCTCAGATCCTGGGCGTGGACATGGCACCGCTCATCAAGCCATGTTGAGGCGGCGTCCCACATGCCACAACTAGAAAGGCCCACAACTAAACTATACAACTATATGCCGGGGGGGGGAGGGATTTGAAGAGAAAGGGCAATTAAAGAAAAAAAAAAAAGATTTGGGGCTGGCCCTGTGGCTGAGTGGTTAAGTTCGTGCGCTCCGCTGCAGGTGGCCCAGTGTTTTGTTGGTTCGAATCCTGGGTGGAGACATGGCACTGCTCATCAGACCACGCTGAGGCAGCATCCCACAAGCCACAACTAGAAGGACCCACAATAAAGAATATACAACTATGTACTGGGGGGCTTTGGGGAGAAAAAGGAAAAAAATAAAATCTTTAAAAAAGAAATTTTTTTTTTAAATAAAAAAAAAGCTTGGCAACAGTTGTTAGCTCAGGTGCCAATCTTTAAAAAAAACTAAAAGATCACCATGTAGAAATAAGCAACCTTTGCAGATTTTTTTCTATCTGTTGATGCCTATTAGTGCCTCTGTATGCTGATATATGTGTATACGTTACAAATGTAATCATAACGTCCATTTTATTTTATTTTTCTAAAGACAACATATCTTGAATATTTTGCATGTCCTTGTATATTTTCTGATGTTTAGCATTTAGTGATTACTTTGCACGTAGACAAATACGTATATACATACAGTTATCTTTGCCCTGCCATAGCAGCATCACACTACTCACAACCGTTGTTCCCTGCATTCTTCACTCAACAACATGTAGTAACATATTTCCATCTTTCCAATTAAAGATCTATGTCCTCTTTTTTTTTTTTTTGAGGAAGATTAGCCCTGAGCTAACTACTGCCAATCCGCCTCTTTTTGCTGAGGAAGACTGGCCCTGAGCTAACATCCATGCCCATCTTCCTCTGCTTTATACGTAGGATGCCTACCACAGCATGGCTTTTGCCAAGTGGTGCCATGTCTGCACCCGGGATCCGAACCCACGAACCGCGGGCCACTGAGAAGCAAAACGTGCGAACTTAATTGCTGCGCCACCGGCAGGGCCCCACGTCCTTATTTTTAAATGACAAGTTTTTTCACTCTGTGGATGCTTTATAATTTATTTAATCTATTTCCTACTGAAGGACATTTAGGTTCTTTCCAGCTTTTTTCCATTATGAATAATAATGTCAGCACAATCTTACATCTTTGTCTACCTGAGTAATTATTTTCTCTAATCCTGAAATTAGAATTTCTGAGTCAGAGGGTTTGCATGGTTTAAATGCTGCTTGCACGTACTTTTAAATTTACAAAGTATGCAAGTCAGAATGCTCATTTCCTCACAAACTTGCTAATAGGGGCATCAGTACTCAAAGTGAGGTTTAATATCTTTTGGCGATTTGATGTGTTAATTTCTATTTTTTAGGGAGTCATGCGTGCTCATGGTTCTCTCATTGGGACAAGAGATTCTTGGTTGCAGAGCCAAGCGCTAGAGGTGAATGACAGTTGACTTTGTGGTTAGAAAAATAAGGATTCTAGATGCAGCTTTACCAGTTTTTTGGTATACCTGTAAGGTATACCAGTTATTAACTAAATTTCTGCAAGTGATTTTACTTCTTTTAGTGTGAATTTTCTGATCCATTGCATGGAGGGGATAATTACTATACTACATGGCAATCCTGAGGCTACAGTTACTGTATATAAAATAGGCATCATGTGAAAGTTCTTGCTAAGTAGATATGTGTTATTGTCTGCCTGCTGAGAGCGTGAATCCACACCTCTTTAGACTAGGTTGTGAGAAAGAGAACGGCAAATGATAGTCATTTTGGAAAGCGATGTGGATGATTCTCATTGAAAATGGTTGATGAGCGCACAAAATATTGGGAGTTACTGTTCTGGCTGCAGGCAGGCACGGCTGCCAGTGCAGCGGTTTTGCAATGGTAATGGATGCCAGGGTTGGTTCTTATGAACTTCTCTCTTTGTATGTGATGAATCCAAGCAGGCCTTTCTTTTAAAGAAATTCTAGTTTAGATGATATGGACCTTTATCAGCCCTGAAATTTATGAGTAGGGATTAGATTTGTCCAGACTCCCTCAAATCTCCCTCAGTGTGTATGTGTGTATGTGTGTATGTGTGTTGATGTGTGTGGGTGTGTGTGGTGGGAAGGTCAAGGGAGGGGAAAGGACATACTAGCTCAAGTCATTTTGGGAGTTATGAGGCCTGTCTGATCTCATGGCCTCCTTTTTCTCCCCCTAGCTTTGGCCTCTATGGACTCTGCTTCTCCATGCAAGTAAACCCCAAGGAGGACTGACCAGTTCTTGAATTTCTAAACCATGGCCCATGTAAGTCACTCTTTCTTTCTCCTGGAAATAGTCATCGTTAAGGTCCTATGAACATTTCTTTATCCTGAAACTTTCTACCTATCAGAGCCGCATCTAATACTCTTCTCCCAGTTCGTTCAAATCCAATGAGGGATGAGGCTAAATAGCACAGTGTCTATCCTATGAGTCCTCTTTTTTTCAGTCATTGTTCATGTATCCATGGAACAAATCATTCAGTTCTTTCGTATGTCCTTGATCTTTTGCTAACAGCTGCAGTGAAACAGAAGTGAAATCCCTTGAGGGAGATGTTTGACCATCTCCTGTGAGTTGATGAGAGAGGATGGCCTCATTTGACTACTCATGGGAAAACTCTGTACTTTTCTGGATTTGAGTTTTCCAAGTATATAAGATAAGATTTGCTCTTGGTTGGCCTCAGCCTCCGTATATGATGAGATCTCATACTTTGTGAGGCTTTTAAGACTGGGTAGGGACGTGGTTGGATGTTGCCTCCAGAGAGATCAGGGATCTTTTCTGGGAATCCCTAAGAGTTATCCACCAGGAGCAGGGTTCCATTTGTAGGTGAATTGGATGTGCTGGTCTAAAATGACATCTTTGTGATTCTTGATCACCAGTATCCAGAACCTACATCAGTATCCTCTGCCTCAGGAAACGAGGAATGCATGCAATGAGGGATAGAAAATGATAGCCAGTAAGAAGATCATGCAGATATATAAGTAGTTGTAGACTCTCAGAATTGAGGAGGACCTTAAATGTTTTATATATACCAAAAATATTTAAGTATAGAAGAATGATCATCTCATATATCCATTGCATAGACTATTATACAACCTGGGTTTTTTTAAGTTAATTAAAGAATCTGTCATAAATGGGAAAATGCTTATGATATGATCTGTTTCAATGATGAACTTGGGAGAAATTCTTTAATTGTATTTAGATCCTTTTCTAACATAAAAATTGTAGGGAAAATTTTTTTAAAAATCTGTTCTATAAGGGGAAAGGGTAGAAAAACTCACATTTCTTGAGAATTTATGAGGGAGATACTTAGTAGCCAGGAGGTTTATATACAGTATTGCATTTAATTGGAAAACTCATTGTCTTTTTTTCTTTCCCACACGTTTGGATAATTAAGATATGCCAGAGGACACAAGAGGTTATGTCTGTAGCAGCAGGATCCTTCGAGAACATATAGGCATGCTGCTTGGGGCACACTCTTTTCCTAACTCACTATGTTACAGGCTTCTGGCCCAAGCCTGTTTGCTTGCTATGTGGTCTGTTTCCTGCAGTATCTCTTCTATCTTTTCTCCTTCTATCTTAAAGCAAATTTTCCTGAATTTTAATTGTATTATACATAGTATATGTCATTTCAGGGATCAGTGATGTTCAGTGACGTGTCCATAGACTTCTCTCAGGAGGAGTGGGAGTACCTGGACTTGGAACAGAGGGCCTTGTACAGAGATGTAATGTTGGAGAACTACAGCAACTTGGTCTCATTGGGTAAAGTTATCTGCCTCTAGTAATTTAGACTCTGTTTTCTGGAATACCAGCTTTCTTCTCTGGAAATTTCAGGAATATCTGTCAAGAAATTATGTAGATTTCTACTCCCTGTTCTCAAGGGAATGATTTGAACTTTGTTTCTTTGGAATTGAGCACCTCCAGTAAGCATATTCATCTTCATCCTTAAGTGGCCTTCAGGCCTTCCTTAATGATGAAAAGGCTGAATTTGAAGCCTGGGGGATTTACAGCCTTACCAACGTCAAAGAAACCAGGTTTCATTTTGTGTTTGAACTCAGAATTGCTCTAGGTGTTTTGCTGTTTTTTTATATACCTGTAGGGAAAATAGCTACACTCTGTGTCTTGGTTTTTCTCTGACTATCAAAAGAACACATAATTATTGTAGTGGTAAGTTGGATCAACAGGATTTATTTACAATTCAAAAGAACTCATTCCTTTTGTTAATAAACAAGCAGATTCACTTTTATCTACTTTTATGATTGAAAGTTAAAAATCCAAGAACTGGGCCTGGCCTTTTGGCCGAGTGGTTAAAGTTCTGTGCATTCCACTTTGGCAGCCTGGGTTTGGATCCTGGGTGTGGACCTACTCCACTCACCAACCAGGCTGTGGAGGTGTCCCACATACAAAAAAATAGAGAATTGGAACAGATGTTAGCTCAAGGCTAATTTTCCTCAGGCAAAAAAAAAAAAAGAAGAAGATTGGCAGCAGATGTTAGCTCAGGGTGAATCTTCCTCAGCAGAAAAAAAGAAAAAATCCAAGAACTTTGCATTTAACATTGTCTGAATATCCTAAGAAATAACAATAAATGCCTCAGGAAGCTTCTTGTTTTCCTCTCAGCAAAATAACAATAACAATAAATAATAGCTAATAAAATATATATAGTGCTTAGTATATATTTTAGGCAATGTTGAGGTATAGATATATATTAATATAACCTTCACAACAATCATGTAAAATATGTATAATTATTATCCGTATTTTATAGATGAGGAAAATAAAGCATAGAGGTAACTTGTCCAAGGTCACACAACTGGGATGTGGCAGAGGCAGGACTTGAAGCCAGGCAGTCTGTGTTCTCAGCCACTATTGCCTCTCAAGAAGGAGTACTTTTATGAATATAAATTAAAATAAGACTTTTTCCCTCCCTCTCTATTCTCCATTTATTCTGTAACCTTAATGTGAATGTTTTTTAACCATCTTTCTGTTTTGTGTTCTAAAGGTTTTATCAATTACCATTTGACCTATAGTTTATTAAAAGTTTAACCAACACTGAATCAAAGTGCTTTTGAATTTATTTTTTATTTCCTTATCACCTTACATTTCCTTTTTTCTAACCAGGTTGCTTCATTTCTAAACCAGATGTAATTTCTTTATTGGAGCAAGGAAAAGAGCCCTGGAAAGTTGTGAGGAAAGGAAAAAGACGATATCCAGGTGAGTGAGGGCCAATTGGGCAGGGGGAAGCCATCACCAGAGGTGCTGGAGTCCAGCTCCAGCAGAGTCCAGGTTTCCTGAGGGATGGACGGTGTTGGCGAATGAGAGGCAGTGAGACTGGAAGTGAGGTTTCCAAGTCTCATTTATTCAAAGCATTCAAGCACTTATATAGGGTCCAGATCACGCATTTATGATTTCATGGAATTATCCCAGTACATAATTTTGACAAACAAAATGGGTACATAAGCATATCTTGTTATAATATTAGCACAGTATGTGTATGAGAAGCAAGCAACCCTTGTTAATTATAGGTATTGACCTTTTCTATATATCTACTAGGCGTCTAGATGTCTAAGACTGATTGCAAAACGGGGTGTAACGTCTAGATTCAGTTCCCTATGGGTCGAATGGCCCTAAGCCTCTATCTTTATTCCTGTAATAACGAAAGCAGAAGTATCACACAATATAAGGGGACCAAGTACACATAGGCCCCCAGCTCTGTCTGATCGAAAGCCACGCAGGCACAGTGCTTGGGGTTTCTCTTTTACCGTTAACTATTTTATAGGGTTCCCAATCCTCATCATAATCCCAGTTCCTCTGTGTCAATATATTATGATATTTTTCTGCAACTTTATCAGGATCATGAGTTGTTTTAGGAGAGTGTACCTTTTGCATATCTTTGCTCCTGGGTGGGTGCCACCATTTACCTCCTGTCCTAACAGGCCTAGGATAATATCTACCTCCTAGAAGGACCTGAGGAGGGAATGTTCTCCTTTGAGGCTGATTATTAGAAGCCTTCCTCCTTGAGGGCTGTCCAAGCTCCTTTTCCACCTTTCCAGGAGGGGGTCAGAAGGTTTTTTCCCTTCAGGCTGTTGTTCCCCTGAACCTTCCCTAGAAGGCCAGGTTACATCAGCTCCTTTCCCTTGCTTGGAGAGATCTTCCCCACATATCCCCATGTACAGAAAAAGAACAGCAAGAGCAATATTGCTAAGATTAGTAGCATGAGTAGGATCAGGAGCGGCCGACCGCCATCTTCTGAGGGTCCGCCGTGCGTTCCCTCATCTCTCTCCCGGACCGTGTCCTTGGGTAGAGGCTTAGCGGACTGGTGGGCGGCTCCCGGCACAGAGGAAACCATGCGACTGATTATTCATGAGTCGCACCCTTGTGATGTTGTTTAGAAAGCCCTCTATGAAGGTCCCTGGTTTAAGGAGAAAAGGTCTGAGACCTGGGGAGCAATTAAGGTCTTAGTTGGCGATGCTAACAGAACTACTTTATCTCATTTACCACTCTTCTTTTTTGTTGTTGTTCTCTCCGCTTTTCTCTCCCTTTGAAGGGGGCATGGGGTGGAGAGGTTCTCCCTTTGTTCCTTCCTGACAGCCATTCTATCTATATTTTGATTCAGTTGCTTTCTTCTTTTGCATTTATAGATCAAACAGATAGACTGACCTCTGAGCTGGGCACTGTGCTAGACACTATTGATAGAGTGGTAAACAAAACTAAGAGAGTCCTGGTCCCCATGGAATTTACCTTGTAATAAGAGAAACGTAGTAACTGTAGATCAATGGAAAATAGAATGTCAGGTAATAAGAGAGTGCTCTGAAGAAAAGTAAGCAGAGGAAGGGAATAGAGAATGGGGTGGGATGGGAATGCTGTTTCAGTTATGGTCAGAGAAATCTTTTTTTAACTTCCTCATAAATTTTTAAATGGGAAATAAAAGGCTACAAAAAATATACTTGACGTAATAATATGTTTTATCAACAACTAAAGTTTCATATGACTTACTCTAGAAGATAGATCCTTAGATCCTTGGATTCTTATTTGCTTTTTTCCATGTGTGTATGTATGTATTGAATTGTGAGAACCTGTAGGGAGAATGATCCCTTGGTTTAGCTTCTGCCCCTCTGCTATTTTCATCTGTCTTTGAACCTCTTGTTGAAAAAAGATCCTTGAAATTCTTTACATAGAGACGTACATTATCATTTTGTATTTTACTCTTTGTATATTCAGGTCTGGCTGAGGAGACTCATTTTAGGCTAGAAGTTCTTATTTTGTAACAATAAGCTATTTTAGTGCCCCCACTGTTTATAATGTTCTATCTCCTGACTCATTTTCTACCAAAGGAAAGAAAAACATGCCCTTCTTCTCTTAACTTATTTTCTTATTTACATTTAGGTAATTAAATGACATTTACAACTAAATGTCATTAATACTAAAAAACACAATGAAATGCAGAGGTTCCAAGTGAATAAGATAATATCAGTTTAGTCAGTAAACATTTGGCCATAATAATTGTTGACTCAAAGTTAGACATCTTTTTTTAATTTAATTTTATTATTTTTTTTGAGGAACATTAGCCCTGAGCTAACATCTGCCACCAATCCTCCTCTTTTTGCTGAGGAAGACTGGCCCTGAGCTAACATCCGTGCCCATCTTCCTCTACTTTATATGTCGGATGCCTGCCACAGCGTGGCTTGATAAGTGGTGCTAGGTCTGCACCCGGGATCCAAACTGGCGAACCCCGGGCCACTGAAGCAGAACATGCGAACTTAACCACTGCGCCACAGGGCTGGCCCCAAAGTTAGACATCTTAAACAAGATCATTCATTAGTCTTTTTTCTTTTCTTCCTTTGTTTCTTTCTTCCTTTAAGTAAATTTTACTGAAGTATAGCATGCATACAGAGAAGTAGACCAATGAGGGAAGACTTTCGAGGAGGTGATATTTAAGGAGAGACATGAAGGGCTCAAGCCATGTAACTCTCTAGGGGAAGAGCAATCTGAGCAGATAGAAAACGTGATTGGAATGACTTAATGAGCAGATAGAAAAAAGCTACCTTTGCATATTTGAGGAATAACTAGGAGACCATTATGGCTAGAACAGGGAAGGGGAGGGGAAAGTAACAAGAGATGAGATCAGAGTCAGGCAAGGCCCCGATAATATAATCATTAAGAGAAGTTGGAAGCTATAGTCTGCTCTGTGTTCTAAAATGATCCCTCTGGTTGAGCACAAAAGCAGGAAGGACTGATACGGAGGCAATTTCAGCCGTTCAGACTAGAAATAACAGTGGTTTGGATAAGAAAGGCAAGGGTAGGAGATGGTAAGAAGCTGTTAGACTTGTGATATGTATGAAGGTAGTGCCAAAAAGAACATGCTGATGGAAGTATAAGTGGAGTAAGTGGGAAAGAGTGATATCAAAGGAGGAGATAAGGATTTTAGCTTGAATAGCTGGGTGAATGGAAGCACAGTTTACTGAGGGGGGAAAGATAAGAAGAGCAGGTTGGAAAGTAGACATTAAGAGTTTCTGTTTTGAATATTTTAAGTTTGAGATGTCTGTTATTCTTCCAGTTTGAGATGTTGAGAAGGCAGCTGAATATGTACCCCTGGAGTCAGGGAGAGATTATGGCCTGATGTCCACCTGGGTGTCTTTACTTGAAGTTTAAATCCATGGGTCTGAATGTGATCATCTAAGGAAGGCATGCAGATAGAAGAAAGCAGATAGGAGAAGTGGCCTGAGGATCGATTTCTGGGGCACTCCTCCATTTAGACCTTTGAAAGAGGGAGCAGCAAAGGAGGTGGAGAAGGAGCAGCCACTGATATAAAATAGAAACAAAAGAAAGTGTTTCAAATGGGAAGAATAGAGAACGAGGACTGAGAATTGACCCCAGGTTCTGGCAAGATGGTGACCTTGTCACAAGTGATTTTAGTAGAGTCAGGGTGAAAACATAATTGGAACGACTTAATGAGAAAAGGGTAGATGAGACGGTGATGAGAATGAGTGTAAGACAACTCTTTGGAGGAATTATATATGGAGGGAAGCTGGGAAGTAGAGTTCATAGCAACCCTGGGGATATGGGTTATAAGCAGTGTATTTTATGATATGAAATATTAGAGCATGTTTGTGTGCTCATGGGAATGATTCTATAGGTGGGGGAAATTGATGCAATAGAGAGAGAGCATAAATGTGGGAGCAGTGCCTTTGAGGTGGGGATGGAGGAAGAGGATAGGATCCAGGGAACAAGAGGGAGTAAAAGGGAAAGCAGTGTAGTTATGAATGCACGTAGGTTGGTCAGCATGGTGGAGAGGATAGCATATTCTTCTATTGTTGCTATTTTCTCAGTGAAATAAGAAAGATGATCATGAATAGACTGTGAAGATTGTTCAATATCAGCATTCAGTATGGGCTTGTCAGGATGTGATTAAAATTGGTTCTCAGAAGTACAGTTCCTTGGATGTCAGATTTTATTATTTTCAGATCTTTGTACACTGTCCCCAGTGTTGAAATGCAAATAGGACTTCCTTGGAACCAAATCTTCTGTATCCCAGACCTTGTATCAACAAAGCAAGGTGGTTAAAAATAAAATGCCCAAACATACTAATAAGTCTAGGTGATTTGTGTGACATTTTCCGTTCAGTTAAAGTGGTTCTCTGTAAAGGGGGAATTACATTTATGTTTTTATGTTTACATATTTTTAGCTGATTAAAGAAAGAGCGTATGTTTTTCTGTATTCTCATCAGAAGTCTTTAATAGACTAGAATCCTTTGGTATTTGTTCTATTAATTCGTAAAAATGGGTGTAGAGGAGGAAGACATTTCCTCTGCTCAGTCTAGGTCCTTCTGGCCGGACTAGGAATTAAATTGACATGAGACAGAATAACAGGAGAAAATTAAACAAAGCTTTATAACATGTATACATGGGAGAGACTCAGGCAAACTGAGCAACTCACCAAAATAGCAGAGGCTGTCGTCTTAAATACACTCCTCAGCTCAAGGCAAAGGAGGATGTTGGGAGTTATGGGAGATTACCAGAAAAGCACGGTAAGCAAGAGTAAGGTCATTATGCAGGTTTAAGTCCTTGCCTCTGCATTGGTAAGAGTTTCTAGAGATCAGGTCATCCCCCTTCTTCCTGGTACAGAGAGGGAAACACCTTTACAGATGGAGATTTCCTTTACAAAAGTAAATGTCTCTTAACAAAGGGTAACTTCTACTTTTCAGAGTTTCTCTCATGTCTGCAGTTTTTAAAAGTAACCAGTCCAAAATAATCCTCATGCCAAATAGACGGATCTTGGGGTGGCCAATTCCAGTCCCCCACATGGGTTAGATATTTTATGTATATACCATAAAAGTATTATTTTAACTCTCAAAATTAAAATGTATGTCTGTTTGCCAACACTTCTGATATGTGTCCAAGCCTTTCTTTCTATTGTGTCTCACTTTTAATGATGTGGGCCTGGCGAGCTGAGGAGTTGCAAGATTTCCTGGACTCTCAAGGTCTGGTAGTAGTGCTCCTTTATTCAGAGAATACCATGGGGACAGGACCCATGGTCAGTGAAGAGCCGTGGCCTGAGGACAGGACCCATGGGCAGTGAAGAGCTGCAGCAGGGGTGATGAGGATCAAGGCTGCCCCAGGGAGAGAAGCCCAAGATGACCTGCCCTACATACCGAGCTGTAGCATCCTCCTGGAACCATAGGACGACCTGACCTGATCTGATCTGATTCTTATCTAAAGTTATAGGACCACCTGATAACCAGACCCCACGTACACTGATACCATTTTAATGACTTTTTTACATAATCTTTCCTTTGTCTTGTAAAGATATAACTCACATACCTATGCCTTAAATTTAGCCCTACCCTCAACCCATGTTTGCAGCTCTTCACTGCCCATGGGTCCTGTCCCCATGCTACTCCATGCTATTCTCTGAATAAAAGAGCACTACTGCCAGGCCTTCAGAGTCCGAGAAATCTTTCTTTCAACTTCTTGGCTCACTGAGCGCCCATCATGGGGACCATATGCCTGGCCATGTTGAACACGGTATTTACTCTGTTCTTAGCTATTGTCTCCATACCTGCTCAATTTCTCTTCATGAACACCCCTGGTAGGCCACTTTCACTTTATGCAGAGTTCTCCTTTTTGTGATTCGGTGTATGATTTCTGTAGAAAATCTAATGCCAAATGCTTCATGAGTGTTTTAGAGTTTTCCTCATACATATTATATATATATATATATATTTTTTTAAGATTTTTTGAATTTTTCCCTTTGTTTCCCAAAGACCCCCGTACATAGTTGTATATTTTTAGTTGTGGGTCCCTCCAGCTGTGGCATGTGGGATGCCGCCTCACCATGGCCCGATGAGCGGTGCCATGTCCATGCCCAGGATCCGAACCAGCGAAACGCCAGGCCACCAAAGTGGAGCACGCAAACCCAACCACTCAGCCATGGGGCCGGCCCCTACATATTTATTTTAAGTTTGCTCTTTTTGTTACTATCTAGACTGGTATCTTTTTTGTCCATCATATTTTATTGTTAAAGGTATATATATATAAAGGCTATTAGTCTTTGTATTTTGAATTTATATCGTGTTGCCTTACTTAGTTCTGTTACCATTTATATTATTTAAACCTCTTCAGTTTTCCATTTATGCACTGATATCATCTGGAAATAGTTTTACCTCCTTCTTTTAAATTATTCTACCTCTAATTTTTTTCTATTTAAGTGTGTTGACTAATAACTCCAAAGCTGCCTTTTTATGTTAAGATTATATAGTTTATCATTTTAGGGAAGGAATCATTCCTGTTTTATGGAGCTGTTTTTTTAAAATCAATAATGGTTCTTTTTTTATTTGTCTTTTCAGCATCTTTGGAGTTGCTCATGTGATTTTTCCCCTTCCTCTGCTCTATTAATATGTTAAATTATCTTAATAGATTTTCCCACATTGGACCACTCTAACATTCTTCAAATAAACAACACTGAATCTTTTTTTTTTTTTTTAAAGATTTCATTTTTTTCCTTTTTCTCCCCAAAGCCCCCTGGGACCTAGTTGTATTTTCTTTGTTGTGGGTCCTTCTAGTTGTGGCATGTGGGATGCCGCCTCAGCGTGGTGTGATGAGCAGTGCCATGTCCGCACCCAGGATTCGAACCAACAAAACACTGGGCCGCCTGCAGCGGAGCGTGCGAACTTAACCACTCAGCCACGGGGCCAGCCCCTACACTGAGTCTTTTAGTGTGCTATTTTGTTAGATGTTTAGAGTTTTTACATCAATTTTCAGGAAACTAGTATGTAGTTTTCTTTTTATGAACAATCTTTATTTAGCATGATATTACTTCATGAAAATAGTTTGGAAGTCCTTTTTCTTAGTTCTCAGTCTAAATAGAATTTGGATGGCCTGTTCTTTAAAATTTTAGTAACCTTTTTAGAGCTTTTTTCCTGGGAGAAAGAGGTGGTAAATCTGACCACATTCTCTATTTGCTCTGTGGAAATTAATCTATTGAAACAGTATATCTCTTGTGTCATCAGTTTTGATAAATTATGTTTTCCTAGAAAATTATTCATTTTAGCTATGTTTTAAAATTTATTGGCAAAGTAATCTTTATTTCAGCTATCTTTCTGTATTCATGATTATTTTCACCTTGCCATTTCTTATTTTTATGTCTGCTTTCTTGGCCGTTTTCATTATATTTACTAGTTGTTTATCTTACTGATTTTTTTTTAAAAGAATCTGTTTTTGCTTTATGAATTAGTTTTTTTTTTCTGTTTTCTAACAAACCAAAGCTTTTATACCAGTTAATTTCTTCCCTCTTCTTCAGTTTACTTTGTTCTTTTTTTCTAATTTTTTGAGCGAGATTTTTAATTAATTTTTTCTTTCATTTTTATTCTATAAGTATTTAAGTTTTTGAATTTTCTTCTAAGCACTATGGTTATATTTTATAGATACTAAATTATTGTAGGGTTTTAAATTTTTCTTACCATTGTTTTCTAAAAAACAAAAATACTATTTTGGATCTTATTTCCCTGTTGATCTAAGAGGTATTTTATATAGATTCCTAAAATTTCAAGTGGATTTACTTGTTTTTTACTTTGTTATTAATTTCTAGTTTTAGTAGAAAATGTCTATATGATTTTAACTTTTTTATACAGACCATATTATAATAATTGAAAACATCATCCTTTTTTTCTCTTAGACACAACTCATCAGCACATAAATTTTCCTCTGGCTATTTCTCCTACTGGCTTACCATCCTCTGGTCTATATGACCTTTGTTAGCAAAGTTCTTCACACTCAAATGACTGCAAGTCCCTTTGTCCCTATTAGTGAGTTCTTCACATTTCACACCTTTTTTTTTTTTTTAAACTAAGGATTTCATAAGAACTTCAGTAAGGTATAAAGGAGTTTCCCTATCTAAAAGTCACTGGTACACATTTCTAGGAAACATAGGAATGGCCTTGCCCCTGAGAGAGTGGAAGGGAGAAGACCTGAGCAAGGGGATGAAGGAACAAAACCAGCTGAGCATTCATAAAGTGGATGAGTAATAGAATAGGTTGAAAGGGAGATTAAATAAGTAGAACTCCTCAGTACCTTGTTGTGATGTGGAGACAAATAAAAAGTAACCCATAGCTATTTGAAGGAGGGAATGGGCAGTGCAGAGAACACTGCATAGATAAGGGTGTAAGCAATGGAAGGTTATATAGTAATAGACAACCACCCTTTTCTGTTTATGTATTTAGCTGGGCTAACTTAGATGAATAAAGGCAGTATTTAATCATTGTAGTAAGGTGTGAGAGATTAGAGGCAGAGAAATATATTCAGAATAAGTATATAACTATGGGAATTAAAGGAGTGGAACGTATTGTGTGCTATGGATTTATTGTTTAATAGAAAGTAAAGTAGAGATTGTTTCTGCCCTTGAAGAGGTTTAGGGGTAAGAAAATAAGCAGAATAGCAATTTGAAAAATTAATAAATATATAATTTCCACATAAGTGTATGTTGATGATACATAATAACAACACAATAAATAACAACACAGATTTAGATACTGTCAGTAGAGTCAGCCTTAAAGGAAGTGACTTTAACCTCAGGATGAGAAGGAGCCAACCATGCAAGGAGCTCAGTGAGAAGATCTGTGGGAGCTAGAGCAGACTGTGAAAAGTCCTAAGAGGTGGAAGTAAGTTGGGATGTGTTCTCAGATCCGAAAAGAGGTCTCCAGGTAGCAGTAAAGAGGACAGTGGTTTGAGACGTGTTATAGGTAAGCAGAGGCCTTTTAACCACAGGCAGTTTGATTTTATTCTAAGAATAAAGAGAAATTGTTGAAAAAAGTTAAGCATGAATTCTCCACTTTTTATCTCCATCAGAATTGTGTGGAGAATATTAAATATAGGAGTGCCCAGGACTTTAGAATCTGATCCAAATGATTTTGGTGATATTTAAACCTCAGTATTTGTAACAAGCTCCCTGGTGATTCTGATCCACATCTCAATTTGAGAACCACTGACATAAAGTGTTTACTTAATCACCAATCTCACTTTCTTACGTGAACTTTCATTTTCCCTAGTGTTCCCTTATGTTTGTTTTTTTGTTTTCAAATTGTATAACAATACTTTTAGAATTTCATTGGGCGTTACTTTGGTTATCTTTTATTTTTACTGTAGAAATTTTGTTTCTTTTAGGAAAAGGAACTACATGTTAGCTTTCTTATTTTCTTTCAGATTTGGAGACCCGGTATGAGAGCAAGAAGTTATCTTCAGAAAATGACATTTATGAAATAAACTTATCCCAGTGGAAGATAATGGAAAGAATTAAAAGCCATGGCCTTAAGGACCTTATTTTAAAAAATGATTGGGAGTCCAAAAGAAAATTTGAACGACAAGAAGGATATGTCAGTCAGATGAAAATTCCATCTCAAAAAGTGTCCTCTTACCAGAAACGCACATCTCTTACTCCACATCAGAGAATTCATTTTGTTGAGAAACCCTATGAATGTAAGGAATGTGGGAAGGCATTTAGAGTACGCCAACAACTTACTTTTCATCACAGAATTCATACTGGTGAGAAACCCTATGAATGTAAGGAATGTGGGATGGCCTTCAGACAAACTGCACACCTTACTCGACATCAGAGACTTCATTCTGGTGAAAAACTATATGAATGTAAGGAATGTAGAGAATCATTCATATGTGGCCCAGACCTCAGAGTACATCAGAAAATTCATATTGGTGAGAAGCCCTATGAATGTAAAGAATGTGGGAAGGCCTTCAGAGTGCGTGGACAGCTTACTCTCCATCAGAGGATTCATACTGGTGAGAAACCCTATGTATGTACAGAATGTGGAAAGGCCTTTAGACAGTATGCACACCTTACTCGACATCAGAAGCTTAATATTGCTGACAAACTCTATGAATGTAAAGAATGTGGGAAGGCCTTTTTGTGTGGCTCTGGCCTTAGAGTACATCACAAGCTTCATACTGGTGAGAAACCCTATGAATGTAAGGAATGTGGGAAGGCCTTTAGAGTTCGGCAACAACTAACACTCCACCAGAGAATTCATACTGGTGAGAAACCCTATGAATGTAAGGAATGTGGAAAGACCTTTAGTCGTGGTTATCATCTTATTCTTCATCACAGAATTCATACTGGTGAGAAACCTTATGAATGTAAGGAATGCTGGAAGGCCTTTAGTCGTTACTCACAACTTATTTCACATCAGAGTATTCATATTGGTGTTAAACCCTATGACTGTAAGGAATGCGGGAAGGCCTTTAGACTACTCTCCCAACTTACACAACATCAGAGTATTCATATCGGTGAGAAACCCTATAAATGTAAGGAATGCGGGAAAGCCTTTAGATTGCGCCAAAAACTTACTCTACATCAGAGCATTCATACTGGTGAAAAACCCTTTGAATGTAAAGAATGTAGGAAGGCCTTTAGACTTAATTCATCCCTTATTCAACATCTGAGAATTCATTCTGGTGAGAAACCCTATGAATGTAAGGAATGTAAGAAGGCCTTTAGACAACATTCACACCTTACCCATCATCTGAAAATTCATAATGTTAAAATATAAGAATATCCTTCTGTTCTGTGTTGTAGAACACTCTGTGAATATAGTAATTAATCCCTTTTGCTTTATACATGTAATTGACTTGGCATAAGACATTTTATATCTTAAAAGAATATGTTAATTTAATGTCTTCCACCATCACTCAAACCTGATAAACCATCACTCAAACCTGGTAAACTTCACATTCATTCTAAAAACTAATCCTATTAATATAATGAATGTGGGAAAGACACATCATCATCTCTATCCCATCACTTTCCTGCTTGTGTTATATTGAAGAAGATGCTTCTCTGCTCTGTGCTGTAATTTATTCATTTATAAAATGGTGCTATAATACTGTGGCAGAGTAAAAATTGCTGCACATTCATTGAGACTCCTCCCATTAAGAGGTGGCATCCACATCCTTTCCCCTTGAATCTGGCCAGACTGACTTGACCAGTAGAATATAGTAGAAGTACTGCCGTGCCGGTTTTTAGACCCAGGTTTTACTGATAGATTTTACTTCATCTCCTGGAATACTCTCTCAAGTTCAGACCTTGAACTTTATGTTAAAAAGTCTGGCAACTCTGCTGAAGAGACCACATGGAGAGGCCCTGAGACTACATAGAGAGGGAGAGGCACTCTGCTGAGCTCAGTCTTCCAGACATGCCCACCAATACACCAGACATTTGAGTGAAATAGTTTCACTGGCCACCAGCTGGATGCCACTGAGTGACCTCAGTTGACACCACATAGAACAGAAGAATCGACTAACTGAGCCGCTGCCTAAATTCCTGACCTACAAAATCATGAGATATAATAAAATGGTTCTTGTTTTAAGCCACTAAATTTTGTTTTATTATATCATCTTTAAAATTACTGTTTTGAAAATTCGTATTAAAGACGATGGGCACAGTGAATATAGAAATGCCCTCCACCAATGCTTATCCTTATTGAATTTCAGTAACTTATTCGTGTTAAAATAATGAAAGAGAGAAATTCTTTCTAAAATTGTTCATAAAAAAGTAGGTATTCTACAATCTGCATTCTCTGACCCCAGTCTAAATTTAATTTAAAAGTAACAAAAAGAAACTATTTGGAAATTTAAAATCACCTGTATTATAATTCCTGCAATAATTTTTTTTAAATCCATTGTAGCCTTTTTTTATACTCAAATTGTCCTATCTTGGCCAATGGGAATTTCCTCAAGTTGGTTCCTGTGTCTTTTTGTCATGACTGCTGTAGCATTTGATAGCTTCTTATTTTTCTGACCAAATGCATTAGTCAGCTCTGGAGCATATTTGGGCATTTATTGATCAATAAAGGGGGAAAATGGAGCATTTATCTTGCTGTTCCTTTATGAACTATATTTCAAGACAACCAAAAGTTGGTGAAGGACAGTTCTTTATTATTAGAGAATTCTAGCTAATAAAGGTCAAAGGAATGATAGCATTTGAAAAATCACGTTTTAAATTTATTAAATAATGAATCTTGGTGGTGATATCAATGGATGTGAAGACCTTTGGGTGAAAGATTGATAGGAAGGTTTTAATAGATGGAGCAGAATGAACCCTAATCTATATTTATAAACATCTTAAAATTGGATCAACCAGGCTGTGTGCTTCTTGATATGATGCAAAAGATGTACACAGCACCACCTGTGAAGTATTCTTGCCCAAAATATTGATCCAGAAGTATAATTTAATCTCTAAATCTAATTAGTTTACAAGAAACTTGGGGATTAAAGAAATTAATGACACAAAGAAGCAACCAACCAAATCCAGAATGTGGGAAATTCCACATAATAAATGATCTAGTTTCCTAACCAATATATGTCAAGATAAAATAAAAAGATAATCTTGCAAATTAAAAGGCACTTAAGACATATCAATTAAACACAATATATGGAATGTACTGGGATCCTTGCATTAAAATGTAGTGAGATTTTATTTTAATCACATATGGTTAGACACGTAGACACACGAATGGTTGTCATAAAGGAAGACATTTATACTCAGAGATCACTAGAAATAGGAGGCACCGCATGCCACACAGGTCCACATGGGGAAGCACCTAGTTTTTTGGGGAGGCAGAAGAGGGGAGAAGACAGAGCATCGTTCAGAGCCTTTACTGGAGTTTTCCTATGAAGGAATGGGCCACACTGGGAGGTACACTAAGTGAGTTTAGGATTGGATAGTTTGAATAATTTTGGTGGGCTTTGAGCCATAGGGATAGGCCCTAGTTGTCCGGTACCTGGGGTGATTTAGGGCAGGAGGAATATTGGCTTGGTATATGAGTTTGATAAAGGAGATGGTCAGGGGAGGCGGGTATCATTTGCCATCTCTAGGAATTTGCTAGCCCTCGGAGGGGTAATCTTTCCAGGATCAAGTCATCAAATGCCAGACCATCAAGAATACAGAAAATAAGAAAATACAGTCAATGCAATCCTGATTTGGACAAATACATGAAAAAAATTTAGACTATTGTGAAAATGTAAACCTAGAGTGAGTTAAATTATGTAAAGCAATTATTGTTCATTTGATTAGGCACAATGCTGGCATGGGTGTGGGAGTGTGTATGTGTGTGTAAGTCCTTATACTGAAGTATTCAAGGGTGAAATTATGGCGTGTCTATGATTTGCTTTATAATACTTCAGAAAAACAAAGGGTGGGGGTGATAGATGAAAAAAGATTGGCAAAATGTTGCTAAGTGTTGAAGGTTGATGATGAGTACACAGGGTTCATTGTGTTATTCTTACTACCTTTGCGTATATTTTAAAATTTCCATAGTAAAGTTTTTTTAAGTAGAAAATCAAATAGGAAATTTTAGATTACTTAGTGATAAATGATAAAGTGATGCCTACAAATAAAAATTTGTAGGAAATCACCAAAGCTCTACTTGGTAGAAAATTAATCACCTTAATGCATTTAGAAAACCTAGATTGAGGAACTAGTGTTTCTCTTGTTTACCACTCAGTCCCCACACCTACAGTGCCTGTCACATAACAGGCAATTGATAAATGTGTTGAAAAACGTAAGCATTAAGTTAAGCTAGAAAAAAAAATAAGTAGAAGGAAGTAATTCATACGCTAAAAGTAGAAATTAATGGAATAGTTAATAAAACAGTAGACTTTATCCAAAGATGTTCTCTTTGAAAAGACCATGAATATAGAATTGGCAGTTATTATTGAGGAAAAAAGAGATGCCTCAGTTACAGCTGTATGTAGGGGAAAGGTGAAATCACTACATATATTAAGGAGATTAAACATTTTTTTAAGTTATATGTGTATTACTATATACATATATTTCAATATGTATAAAAATATAGAGAATGAATTATCTAGAGAAACCTAAATGATCAAAATTGACTCAAGATACTACAGAGGGGCTGACCCCAGGGCCAAGTGCTCAACTTCACCCACTCCGTTTTGGTGGCCCAGGGTTTCCCCCATTGGGTTCCTGGGCGCGGACATGACACCGCCCATCAAGCCACGCTGAGGCGGCATCCCACATAGCACAACCAGAAGGACCTACCACTAGAATATACAACTATGTACTGGGGGGCTTTGGGGAGAAGAAGAAGAAAAAAAGATTGGCAACAGATGTTAGCTCAGGTAACAATCTCTAAAAAAAAAAACAACATACTATAGGAAACCTGAATAGATCTATAAACAAAGGAAAAATGTAAATGTAGTTATGATCTTGATTTTTAAAAACTAGAATCAATAGTTTTGCTGGCAATAAAAAGCTTTAAAGAGGAGATAACCTCTAAAAATTTTTGCCAGATCATTCTATAAGGCAATATCCCAATAATAAAATTAGATGAGGATAGCCCCTAAAAAGGAAAATCTGGACCAGTATTACTTAAGATACATGCAAACACTCCAAAAAAAGTTCTATAAATTGAACTCAGTCTATTAAAACAATTATAAAATGTAAAATGATCTGCCAGGAATATCTGGGGGCCTGACCTGTTGTGGTTTAATTAGGTATTCAGATTTTAAGTATTCTTTTTCTTTTCTTTTCTTTTCTTTTTTTGAGGAAGATTAGCCCTGAGCTAACTACAGCCAGTCCCCCTCTTTTTTTTGCTAAGGAAGCCTGGCCCTGAGCTAACATCTGTGCCCATCTTCCTCTACTTTATATGTGGGACGCCACGACCGGCCCCTAACTCCAAATTTCTGAAACTGTGTTCCACAAAACAATAGTACTTAATGGTACTTGAAGAAAATGATTTTCTGGTCAAACAAGCATGGGAGCTCTGTATACTGTATTTCTTGGGAAAAAAATTATTCACATTAAGTGCCTATCAAAAGACGATCAAAAAAAAGATTTCCTTTTATCTAACCCAGTGTCTCTCAGACTTCGCTCTAGAATTCCCATTCCCAATGCCTACTGCAGATGTGATTCCACTTTGGCAGTTTTGCTGTAACCAAAAGGAGTGGCTTCAAGGATGGAAATGTCTGCATTATGGCAGGTGTGTGGTTGTGTGGCAAGGAAAGCAACTCACGTCATGCTGTCCAACTGTTAGCTACCGGCTGTCTTTAAAATTTAAAATGGTGCTTTTCAATAGAAGAGAAAACCCCAGCCCTATTCTTTATATAAATATACTATATGTATTTAGACCTTTTATTGGTCACTATTTAGATTATATACAATTTCTCACTGAAAAATATCTTATAGATATGTGTGTTTCTTGCTATACATAAGCAAGAGTCTCTCTGAAGTATTCATCGAAAAGTGGAATTGCTCAGTCATAGGTTATATTCACTTTCAACCTCACTAGATATTGCCATAAAAGTGGAGGACACCATTGTGCCAATTTACAATCCCTCCAACCAGTGAAATAGTATTTCATTGTATCTCCAATTCTGGTATGTGCTTTAATATTTTTCTGGTTATTAGTGAGTTGAGCGTCTTTCCACATCTGTTTATTGCTAAACACTGTAATTTGCCAATTCATGTCTTTTGCCCATATTCCTTTTTTTAACAACGTTCATGTAAGAATTGTGCGATTCTTAAAAATAATTTTCTAGATAGTAATCCTTTACTTAGTATTGTAAATGATGGACTTACCTTCTCCCAGATTGTGGCTTATGTCTGTATTTATGGTGATATTGTCATATTAAAATTTTAAATATGGATGCAATCATAGCTTTCATTATTACCCAATAATCTTTTTAATTTATTTTTTACTAGACCCTTGGTTTTCTAGGCAGTTAGTTATGTCAACTGCAAATAGATATAATTTTGGTTTTTTCTGAATATTTATAGTGATTATTAATTATTCTTATTGTAATAGAAAGAATTTCCAGAACAATTTAAGATTAGTGATGATAGCAGGCATCTAATTGTTTTCCCCACTTCAGTGGAAACCCTTGGTGCAATGTTTGCTCTGGGTTTGAGGTAAACAGACTTTGTGTGGCTCAGCTGTTTCCTTCAGTCTCTGTTTAACTTTTTTAATAGAAATGCCTGCTGAAATGCTATTTGGGCACATCGATATAATATTTTTCTTCTTGAATTTGTTACTGTGATAAGTTGTACTTTGGTCATTAAGGCAGTATGGTATCGGTGCAAGAAGGAACAAGTAGACCAATAAAGCAAAATAAGGAGCCCTGAAATAGACCTACACTTATATGTGGCCATTTGATTTATGACAAAGGGTCCTCTCTGCAGTGTGGTTGGGAAATGGTGGTCTTTTCAATAAATAGCTCTGGGTCAGTTGCATATCCATATTGATAAATTAATCTCGGCTCTTACCTCACACTACACACTAATCAATTCCAGATGCATTAGTGATCTAATGGTAAAAGATAAAGGCTTTAAAAGAAAACATAGAATATCTTTCTAGCCTTGAGGTAGCAAAGATTTCTTAAACGGAACACAAAAAGCACTAACCATATGGAGAAAACATGGTAAATTTTACTATATTGAGTGTAAGAATCTATTTTCATCAAAAGACACCATTAAGACAGTGAAAGGTTGGGGCCGAGTGAAACCCATGGCCAAGTGGTTAAGTTCACGCGCTCTGCTTCAGCGGCCCAGGGTTTCGCCGCTTTGGACCCTGGGCACAGACGTGGCACCGCTCATCAGGCCGTGCTGAGACGGCGTCCCACATGCCACAACTAGAATATACAACTATGTACTGGGGGGCTTTGGGGAGAGAAAGGAAAAATAAAATCTTAAAAAAAAAAAAAGTGAAAGGGCAAGCCACAGAGTGGGAGAATATATCCACAATATATATTTTTGACTGAAGACTCATCCAGAATATATAAAGAACTCCTACAGATCCATAAATGACAACCAAATAGAAAATGGGGAAAAAAAATAAGCACTTCAATAAAATGGATATCCACAATATATATTTTTGCATGAAGACTCATCCAGAATATATAAAGAACTACAGATCAATAAATGACAACCAAATAGAAAATGGGGAAAAAAATAAGCACCTCAATAAAATGGATATCCAAATGGCCAATAAAGATATCAAAAGGTGCTCAAGTTCATTAATTATCAAGAAAATGGAGAAATTAAAACCACAATGTGATAGGACTATACACCCACCAGAATAGCTAATGAAAAAAATGTGCACAAAGTGCTTGTGCATCATGCGTACCTTCAGTGTGCCCCAGAGCACTCTAGCCTTTGACAGTACACTAGGGAATGCTAAAGACAACATCCCTGATCACCAAGAAACTCTGGGAGCAGACAAGTGAGTACCTAACTTCATACTGATAAGGGCCGTGAAGAGAAAAGGTACCGGGAAGGAGAATTACTGGAGGGGGACAATTCAGTTGGTTGTTTCGTCTGAAGTATGTACGGTATCCATAGTGGTAGCAGTACAGGTTTTTTGCAAGAATAGCCAGGCTAACACTGAAAAAGAAAAGCTACAAAGGGATACTAGTCCTCCCAGATATTTAAAAATACTAAAAAACCTGTATAATCAAAATAATGTGATGAACAGAACATGCATGAACAGGCCAGTAGAATGGAACAGAAAGTCCATAAATCGACCCAAATATACAGAGAATTTAGTACATGAAGGAATAGAGGAAGTGACTGTTCTCTGAAAATACCTTTTTGTATATTTTTTACTACGGGGACTATGTTAATGTTTTACATATTTTAAAAATATCAACAAAGAGTGGAGAGGCTGTAAATTGGAATATAAGCAAAAACAAATATTTCCCCCACACTAAAGGGGAAAAAAGAACTATCCCAGGCAACTGTTGAAGACAATTTGACCATATTCCCTCAGTCTAAGAAAAAAAGTTGTATATAAATAAACTCCCAGTTAGTAGGATTGATTTACACAGTTATATAGATTAACAATTCTGAAACTACTAGAATCAAGCAAAAAAGTAAATACATTGTAGGAGTGAGTAAATATAATGGGAACCAGGTTTATCATTGCTGGAGAAGGAAGTTGCAATATGCAAAGGAGGAGGCTAGAATGAACCGTGTGGTGCTGGATAGCAATTGGAGGTATCACTATAAAGTCATGGTTTTAAAAAATATATAAATATAGAACTGCATAGGTCTGTGTATACATATATACATATATTTGTCTTATATACAAATACATATATATTTTTGTCTTATATACAAATACATATATATTTATATGTATATGAATACATATATATATTTCCTAGTGGAGAGGACATAGAAGCAATGACATCTCAGTAGCAATGAGAATCTCCAGCACCCAGATCCAAGGAAACAGGGCTCCCTGGAAAAACAGCATATGCCAGCACTGAGTAGAGAAAACACAAATGGGGTTGGAACATTTTGTGGGGGCAGAAAGTAGGGAAGTGCTCAAAAAAGGATTGAAATATGTCAAAAGGTCACAGTTTCAGTCTGAAGGAGTTCCCACTTGCCAAACCTGGGACAATCTGAGCATCAAAATATGTCATGATAGTAACAGACTGAGTAAAACCATTGAGTAACCCAGTGACTGAAATAAGAATCCATGAAACATGCTTTATAGTAGAAGGCCAACGTATTGACATAGAAAGAATGGTGGAATTAGAAAATCGCCATCGATAAACCATCACAGTAATAATTGATTCTGGTAAGAATCATCAATGGATGTTAAAACTAGTGGGTAAAAGTTCGATAAGAAACAGATGTTGATATCTTCTTTTTTTAATCATTATTGTGTTGATTTATAGTTCATTTTTGTTTTTAAAAGATTTTATTTTTCCTTTTTCTCCCCAAAGCCTCCCGGTACATAGTTGTGTATTTTTAGTTGTGAGTCCTTCTAGGTGTGGTATGTGGGATGCCACCTCAGTGTCACCTGATGTGTGGTGCTATGTCCGCGCCCAGGATTCGAACCGGGGAAACCCTGGGCTGCTGAAACAGAGCGCGCAAACTTAACCACTCGGCCACAGGGCCAGCCCCATGCTGATATCAAAGTGTTTCTCCACAAAGGGAAAAATAGTAACATTGCAGTGAAGAAATCTGGAGGCACCACCTTAACCAAGTAATCAAAGTTAACATAACCAGCATGAGACAAAATGACATGCTGTACCTCCTGTTATAATGCACTGAGAAGAACAGAGCAACTCCTGTGATATTCCTGCCAAAGGGCATAACCAGAACCTAATCATAAGGAAATCACAGAAAACTGCAGATTGAGCAATGTTCTACAAAATAACTGGCCTGCAAATATGTCAAGGTCAAGAAATACAAAGCTTGAGGAATGATTTCAGAATACAGGAGACTAAAGAAACATGGCAATTTAATGTATGATCCTGGACCAGAAAATTTTTTTTTCCTCTAAAGCTTTATTGAAACAATCGTGAAATTTGAATAAGGTTTGTAGATCAAATAAAAGTATTGTTATCAGTGTAAATTTTCTCATTTTCATCATTGTACTGTGATTATGGAAGAGAATGTCTTTGTTTTTAGGATGAATAACACTGAAGCATTCAGAGGAAAAGGTGCAACTGACCTTTCTGAATGAAATTCCAATTGTTCAGAAAAAAATAGTCATACAGCAAGTGCAATAAATGTTAGCAATTGCAGAATCTATATGAAAGTTATAAGGAATTCTTTGTACTATACTTGCAACTTTTCTGTAAGTTCGAAATTATTTCAAAATAATAAGTTTTATTAACAAAGAGCAGGTTTGCGTTCTGCCTCCTCCATTAATTGCTCTGTGATGTTGGGCAAATTATGTCACCTCACTGTGCCTCTGTGTCCATCACATGAGGATCAAAATGGCACCCACATAAGGGGGTTGATATAAGGAATACATGTAACATTCTTAAAATTAGGCCTGCCAAATAGAAAGAGCACTATAAATTTTAGCTTTTTAAATTTTTTGAAAATTTGCGTCTTTTTTTTGCCTCCAAGAAATTTTCTTCTTTTGTCTTCTTTTCCTTTCCTATTCCCTCTCCTTCCTTATTATTGGTTTCTCCTTCTAGAAGTCCTATTAGACAGACATTAGAATTTCAGGCACTGCCTTTACATGTCATTTTCTCTCATGTTTTCCATCTTTATTCTTTTGTGCAGAGTTTGGGGAGAAACTCTAAGATCGATTTTTCTATTCTTTTAGTCACTCCTCCACTATCTCCAGTCTGCTATTCAGCCAAGCAATTGAGTTATTTAATTCATGTGTTTAATCTCCAAGAGAGCAGATTATTTTGTTTTTTAAGTCTAATCTGGTTTTATGCACACTCTTTCTTTCCTAATATTTCAGGGGGTGGGAATTGAGGTAGGGTGGGAGATGTGGAAGCTTAATTGGGTTTTAAGGGTTGTGTTCCATATTTCTGAGCCACTTTTCTGCCATTGGGATCCTTGAAACACTCTAATATCATCAGAATAAATTTCACTTTTCACTTGTTACTTCTTAATTAAAAAGGTTTAATGAAAGTTTCCTGTGTCTGTTATCTTGTCCTATAGCCTCATACTTTGTTTTAAATAAACTTTTTATTTTAGAATGGCTTTAGATTTACGGAAAAGTTGCAAAAATAGTTGAGTTCCCAAATAATGAGCACCCAGTTTCCCCTTTTAAGATCGTACATTACTACAGTAGATTTGTCACAATAATAAACCAATATTGATACATTATTATTAACTAAAGCCCATACTCCAGTCAAATTTCCTTTGTTTTTATCTAATGTCCTTCTTCTGTTCCAG